TATCCAGCATTTCAAATGTGTTTTATAATGTTTCTTTTGTAAGGCATTTCAGCTTACCTTTAAAGAGTTTGAAAAGGAATGCAGTGGAGTGATATGAAGTTAACCCAGATCAATGATAATGCATGTAAAATAGAATGTGAAAGTGATTAGAAGAGTGATATGTTGCATACAATAAATAAGAGCATTAAAATACGATTTGTGAAATAAAAACTGCAACTCCATTTGTATGCATCCTCAGTCATTTAATCTAGCTTCCCGCATCTCATGTTAACTGTGCTCATAGTACAAGGCTAAGGTAAAACTGAGCGAATGAGGTGTCTTAGGCTTGGCCTATACTACAGAGTTAGGTTGACACAATGCAGCTTATGTCGACCTATGTCAGTGTCTACACTACAGCCTTGCTCCCGCCGATGTAAGTGCCCTACTACACCAATATCATAACTCCACCTCCAGGAGAGGCGTAGGGCTTATGTCAGTGTAGTTAGGGTGACATGAACACTGTTTCTTACATCAGCTGTTGGCTGTCTTGTCAATTTCAGGGCCGGGGAGCTCCCCAGCCTGGCTGCTGTCAGGTCTCAACTACAAGACAGGCTTGGGCTGCCACTCAAGCTTCCCACTGGGAGCCCTGCTGCCCCCCAGGGTCCTGGGACTCCAGGTACAGATTTCTCCGCTGAAGGCAAGAAGCTCCCAGCAGGGAGCTGTGTGGAGCTGAGCACCCTGGCTCTCACCCCCCCATACACACTTCCCCTCTTCAGTCGATGGAAGCACTCCTGGTGTGGACTCGCACCACCAACAGAAGGAGGGTAGTGTGGACATCAGCCACTGCAGTGCCTATAAGTGGACCTAACCTAGGTTGACTTGATTGTAGTGTAGACTTGTCCTTAGTCATTGGAATTCTCTGATGCATGGTGGACACTGTCCCCCACCTTTGCCTTGTTAGGTTGTGTCCTTGAAGATAATTAAGATAAGATGGCTATTCATTTACTTCATCTGATGAGGTTTATTAAATGTTTGATTTAGTTTTTTTTTTCTTCCATCCAAAATAGCACAGTGTTCTCTAGGGCTCCAGTCCTGCATTGTGATCCATGTGAGCAGTTGACAGCACCCCAGGACTTCAGCAATCTGCCCACGCAGATCACCATGCAGGACTGGGGGCTAAGATGTTTATATTATAGCTGTCTGAAAATAAACGGAGTGGTGTCTCTCTGTGGGAAGTCATTTAACTGTGTTGTCCTTAAGAGACTTGTTTCAAAATTAATCATTGCCATTATAGATATGTTTTTCCACTCCCAATCCTGATCACATTAAAATCAGTGAGGACAGGAGGGAGGCCGCTAGTGTACGGGGACCATATTCAGGAAAGCATTTAGTGCATTTAGTTGGAGTCAATGGAATTGGGACCTGAGAATAGGAGGCTTCAGTTTTGACACAGGACTCTTAGTTGGTTAGCTGTACTTCAGAGTCAAAGGGTATAAGAGGATTTGAGCTAGATTAACTCCATTGCAGTAGATGAAACTGAACTCTGCAGGGCCATTATTTTTAACAAAATGTAAGCAGGTTTTGAAGTACTTCTTGAGTTAGAACTATTTCTGGTACCAAATTAATCTGGTTGTATTTTTCTACATTCTCTTTTCTTTTTCCGATAACTGGATAGAATGGAGGATGTCCTGTAAGTTTGTAACCACCTAAAATAGGCACAAAATAGGTGGAATGAAAACAAGAGAGTATGGGGGAAATGTTCTTGTGTTGCATCCCTGTTGGTCCTTGTGTTGCCTCTTGCAAGTTCTTTGAAGCATGGACCCATTTTGCTGTATATCTTCAAGATGCCTACTACGCTTCTGAACACTGCATAAAGCTTAATTATAGTAGTAATAATATGGAAAGTGTAATCTCTGATAGTTACTATGCTGCTCAGTAGCCCTGGTTTTGCATGTCAGTGGGAGTTTCCAAGAACAGCGGTGTTTGTTGCCATGTGAAAATTCTTGGATTTCTACTTGGATTTCAGAGCCTGACCTTTCAGATATAAAACTAAGCTTTGTATATAAAAAAAAAAAAGACCCCCAAAAAATCTCAGGAATGTTTGGGTACATTGTTTTATAATATATTTTTTCTCATCTGCACAATGTTTAAGGTTTCTAGACAGTTGTTTCAGAATGATTGAGCTTTCACAGAAACAGTTAGAGATTTCTAAATTCCACGCAGATCAAAAATTGTCTGAAGGTGTGGGGAGTTTTTTGGGGGGAGAGGTTCTTTTTTGTTTTTTAAAGAAAATAAAAGAACCAAGCTGACTTCCATCTGATGTTGTGCTGTCTGTGTAACTTCTGAAGCTCCAGAAACTGGGGTGTCTAAACTTTTTTAATTGAAGGGAGTGGTGGGGGGGAAGCTAGATTGATTTAAATGAATCTGAGGCAGAACATGTCTTTGTATTGTATTTTCTGGGCATTATAGTTTAACCCCTCTGAATATCCCATTTACAGTAGAATGAAGAAGAGAGGATTAAATAACTCCTGTCAAGGATAGCAATCTTTTAATCTTCTAGCTATCTTGCTAGAGCTGTCTGTTAATAGAAGGTAGGACACCTCTTTTAGGAACCTCAGATGAGTATTTTGAAAAAGGTTGATATAATTTACACATTTTAGTTGATGGAATACAGTTAAAAGTTCCTTTAACTTCACTGACAGGACTGAATCCTTTATCATAGACCCCAGAAGATGTGGTAATGAAGTATGTAATCATTTCTTAGAAAAATCTTGTGGTCTCTTGATATTTTTAGGGCATGATTCTGGTACCCTTTCTCATGTTTAATAGCATCTTACTTCAGTGGGACTTAAGGACATGATTAAGTGCTTTGCTGAGTTGGGGTGATTTGCTAAATTGGGGACATATTAAGGTGCTACTCAGCATGAGTAAAGGGGGCAGAATCGCTTCTCCCTCTTAATGTCCCCCCCTCCCCATCTTCTGAATGTGACAGTTCTGGTAATTGATTTTTTTAAATATATCCTTGACCTTCACAGGTGCATTGGAACTGATACAGAATAAAATCGGGGTATCCTTTTAATCCATGCAAGAGCTTTAAGCTCAACAAATTCATGCTAGAAATAAAGCATGCATTTTTAATCGTGAGGGGTAATTAACCATTGAAACAACTTTCTAGGGACCGGAAGGATTCTCCATTTCTTGAAGTCCTTTTTAAGTCAAGACTGGATTTCCTTTCTAAAAGATGTATGCGATCACTGAAATAAAGTTATGGACTCAATACAGAAATGATTGGGTGAGGTTCTGTGACTTGTGTTATGCAGGAGGTCAGACTGGATGATTTTAACAGTCTCTTCTGTCCTTAAAATCTGTGAAATGTTATCTACTTCCACCATGTAAAGTACTTGGTTAGTTGTGATCCCAGTTTACCAGCCATGAGTCTGACTAGACACTAAAACTGACTTATTAATAGCAAGATTAGAAAATGGAGGTAATTAGTTATTATAGGTGGGGTTGGGAGCATGACTTCTTATTAAGGTTGCCTGATAACATCCCATTATAAGACTGGTTTTCAGTTGTTTATAACTTTGCCAAACTTTAACTGATTGGTCTGAAATTTTCCATGTTGGAGATCTGTCTCAAGCGGAATTTTTTTGAACATTTTTAGCCAAAACAGTTGCGTTGTTTCTGAGAACAAGGCTAAGGAAAAAGATCATCTTGTTTTGCCCATTTTAAAAAATTCTGGTGTCTTTTTCTTAGAAAAGCTGTATTTGCCCCCGTGCTTTGGAGCAGGGACTTGAAATTTGCAGGAGGGGGATCTTTGTGACAAGGATGTGCCTTTTGCTATCCCCTGATAAAACTACCCAAGTTATAAACTTTTGAAAAATTGCAGTTCAGACATGCTCAGTCGAGACTTGCTAGAGCATTACAGCTAAAATCTTGGAAGATTCTTTTCTCATTGAGCATGCTTGAACCTCTCGCAGCTACTAGTGTTGACCAGACCGTGCATGTACCATCAACACAGAGTGACATAGCGTGGTCCAGCCATGGTCCAAAGTTGGACTGCCCCTGTAACGGGTGCTCCATGCCAGGGTGGAGCCAGTCTCTCCTGTGCTCTCAGTGATATCTCACCCCTGCTGGCGCCCAGACAGTGTGGAGGAGGAAGCTGTCTGATTCAAATGCAGAGGGGACAAAAAACCAAGCGGGGTGGGGTGAGGGAGGAAAAGGAGTAGATTGGGACAAGGAGATTGTTGGAGGTAGGACTGGGCGGTTGGGGAGGCAAATTAATTCTGGTATTTTCTAGCATTTGAGTGCTTGACTTCGCAACCCCTTAATAATTTTCTTTTAATGGTTTCTTTTTTTTTTTTTTTTTTTGGCGTATAATTAGACAACCTTGTCTACTAGCCAATAATTTCAATCTTACACCCTTGGGCATGCCACTGGATGGACCACAAATATCTTTTTTTGGTACTTACTGCAGTCCTTATTTGGGAATTGGCTATTCTGTGACTCAATTACTTCAATGGGGCTATGCTTGTTAGTCAGCAATAGACTCTGAAGCTAGTGGGGCAGATTCTCAGCTGGTGTAACTTGTCATAGCTCCGTTGAAGTCAGTGACAACTGACCCACCAGCTGAGGATATGCCCTTTATGTTTGCAAGATCAGTTGATTTGTTTTCAAATCACAAAGGAGTCTTATATTTGTCTGAAGTTATTTGGCTTTTATTTAAACAAATAAAAATAACTAAACAATTGCCTTGACTGACGTTTTTGCTGGAAATGATGAACCAAGAATTCACTAAATATTGTGGGATTTAAATTGTTCCAAACTGATAATTACAGTCATGCTGCTACCAGATAACAAAAGAGAACATCATAATTTGAGGAGGATACTTATACTGAAACCATTTATACTTTACAATAAAAGCTTCTTACAAAGATTGCCGGGCATACAATTAAGAAGACTGTTGTTTTATCAGCTGCAGTGTTTATGCTATTAATACTCTTTTTTTTTTTTAATTTCAGAACAATAAATCTAAACAATAATTTACTGCAACAAGTGCTAGGAAGAAAACATGAGGTACTGTGTATCTTGACAGAAAAGATAGTAACAACTCAAAAGTGTTTGGTATCTGAACATATTCAGACAGAAGCAAAATATGGTGGCCTGGTGGGACTCCATACAAAAATTATAAAGGTAAAAAACAAACCATGCAGCACACACAAATATTTCTTCAGCATCATTAGATGTCTTCAAAACCTCAGTTATGGTATTAAACAATAATTGAAAAAATTACCACTTTTTTTTCCTCCTGATTTTGGACAAACCATATTATAACTGATCATATCCTGCCCTTGATTTAATAATTGATCTAATGGATCTGTTCCTTCTCTAACTGCTAGAGCTAAGCACATAATTGGCAGTGAACGTTATCCAATTAATTTAGCCCTTTTTCCTCCATATGAATTTTCTGAGAACAGATCAGTTTCCTCATATGTATTTATTTGGCAATTTTTGTCAATATTTTAAACTGTATCTGTTGCAAATAGTTCTCCACAACTTGTGGACCACAAGTATTTGATACATTGTTTAGTTGTCATTGATCAGTAGAGTTCCCTAGTTAGATGAGAGTGCAGGCTCTTCTGGTGTGAATCTAGAACCTGGTTTCCATGAATACTCTTGACCTGTGATTCAGTGTTAAAAGAAATGGCACATTAAAGGGGCAAGAGCACAGCTGAAGCCAATTCATTTAAAAATTCAAGTGACTATTTGGAAACCAGGTTTTGCCATGTCACCCAGCTCCATGGAGTACTAGGATCCTAATTGTTTACCATTTTTCTTCAGGTGCGTTACAAGTGCTTCTGAAATGACTGTCTAACAAACTGAGGCAAAATCATCTGAACTACCGACTAATCCCCACTGTAGGGGGATCCTCCACTGGCATAAAGCTGGCAGAGCTAGCTCTGCTAACCTGCTCCACCAGCCTGGTTGTAAAGAGGGTGGGGATGAGCAGGAGGAGTGTCAGGATGGGTGGGCAGGGCGCAGCAGCAGTATGTCAAAGCGAGGACCAGTTTTCCACTGGTCTCATGGGACTTTACACCAGGAGCATAAGTGAAAGCTGCCCCCTGCACACGCTGGGGCTGGGAGGCTGAGGGTTGAGGAGCTGCTCTTGTCTCCTGCCACAGGGCAGAGCTCAGACACGGAGAGCTTTGCTGGCATAAATGTTCGCAGACCTCTAATATCACATGTGATCTTGACTCGGGCTAGGGTGACCAGACAGCAAATGTGACAAATTGGGACAGGATGGGGGTAATAGGAGCCTATATAAGAAAAAAAACCCAAAAATCAGGACTGTCCCTATAAAATCGGGACATCTGGTCACCCTAACTCAGGCACAGTGGAGAATTGAGCTAATTCTTTTCCTAATCTAATTTGGGTGTTACCCTGAAGTTCATTTTGTGTGCAAGCTGCTCTGTAGTTGAATCAAATAAACAGTGGATGAATATGTCCCTCAGGTTTCAGTGAGCGAAAATGGGAATGTGAGAAAGGATTCCAATGTGGTGTTAGAGATTCCTGCCCCCACCGCGATTGCCTATGGCGTAATTGAACTGTATATAAAGCGTGATGGTCAGTTCGGTAAGTATGATGTCCATTTTTTTTACATGTAGCTCTGATATGGAAAAAGCCACCTCCTCAAGTAAAGCCTTTCATTCATCTGCAGGCTTACAGCACCTGGTTCTTCATTGCCCTGCATCTTGCATAGTCATTTACACCAGTGCAAAATGGGCATAAAATGCTGCTACGACACCTCTACCCCGATATAACGCGACCCGATATAACATGAATTCGGATATAACACGGTAAAGCAGTGCTCCGGGGGGGCGGGGCTGCGCACGCTGGCGGATCAAAGCAAGTTCGATATAACGGGGTTTCACCTATAACGCGGTAAGATTTTTTTGGCTCCTGAGGACAGCGTTAGATCGAAGTAGAGGTGTATTTTGATTTAGTAGCATTTTATACACTCTTCGCACTCCCTTTTCACTATTATAAATAACTACATAAGATGCAGGGCAACAGTCAATCAGTTCCAGAATACGATACAGTCAATCAAATATTGTCTGTCTGTACAACATTTGATTAGAAAAAATGATGACGAAATAAAGTGTGAGGCTGGTAGTTCATGAACTTTACTGATTTACATTCAAATGAATATAGATCAGCTCAGAAAAGTGACCGTAAAAATGTCCTTGCCATGTTCAGTCTTTGTCTCTTGGTTACTCCAGATCAAATTCGCTGAGATTACAAGTAAAATACATTGGGGTTGGGGATTTTGGTTTGGTTTGCTGGGTTTTTTGGTTTGTTGTTTTGTAACTCCCTGCTCTGGACATTCCATCTGGGCTCTTCCTCTTTGTGTATCATCACTACGACTCTCAGACCCATGTGAGGTTACTGATTATAATGTGCAAGAAGGAAAGAACCCAGGTTGGGTGTGCAGTGCAGGCGGTTAGAAAAGTTTAAGTGCATCCAAGATGAACTGGTAGATGTCCTTAAGGTGCAATTGAGATGTAAATCTACAATGCATTTCATTTGGGTCTGTTACAGGAGATGATGACAGCTGGAATCTAGACCGACTTTTGAATCTCCTGATGAGTTTGTAGGACTGGCAGTAGTAGTAATTTTTATTTATTAATTTATTATTATTATTATTCGTAAACAAAATGTATTTGGCCTAAAGTCGTCAAGATGCGATGAACAGGAAAATTCCCTAAGGCTGTACATTTTATAGTCACTTTTCAGAAATGAACTGCATTTCCCAGTTAACTACACTGCTTGCTGTATCCGGTGTTAATAAGTCAGGCTAACAATGTGTATTAAAATATTATTTAGTAAAAGTTTGTAGCTGGGAATCTCTCCCTGGGAATATCCTGTGTTCTGTCAGCTGGTTTGTGTGTGTGTGTGTGTGTGTGTTCACTGATGTCTGTCTTCACTGCTGACTGACCCTATTTTCATTTTAATTATCTAATCTTTCCATCTTCACAAACAACATATGTCTCATGTTGGACCTCATAAACACCATATGTCTAGTGTCTGGGTTTTTTTTGTTTTTTGTTTTTAATATTTGTTGTAGTTCTCATCCATCCCTTCCCTTCCTTTCAGTGGGCAGGGAAACCAGTGGGACTAATTGCAGAGTAAGTTACTCTTGCTGAAGAGTACGAGTGGAATTAATGTCTGGTTAGGAATAGAAGAATTACCATACTGGGTAAGACCAGAGGTCCATCTAGTCCAATGTCCTTCCTCTGATAGTGGCTGGTACTAGCTGCTTCGGCGGAACATGGAAGGATCCCCATAATAGATGATAATTATGGAATAACCTGCACATGAGTTTTGTTTTGTTCTCATTTCTGTCAGTGGTTAGCTTATGCCCTAAGGCATGAGAGTTTATAGTGTCTGTCTGTCTGTCTGTCTGTCTGTCTGTCTCTCTCTCTCTCTCATTAAAATATATATACCTTGATATAACACGAATTCGGATATAACACGGTAAAGCAGCGCTCCGGGGGGAGGGGCTGCGCACTCCAGTGGATAAAAGCATGTTCAATATAACGTGGTTTCACCTATAATGCAGTAAGATATTTTTTTTGGCTCCTGAGGACAGTGTTATATCGAGGTAGAGGTGTATATATAAATTAAAACATGACCATGGAGGGTCTTAGCTATAAAAATGTCTAATCCTTTTCTGAATCCTGCTGAACCCTTTACCACAGTGATTTTGTGTGTCTCTGTGTGTTCCACAGGTTACTTATGCACTGAATGTAAAAACTCTCTTTTAAAGGGCTTAATTTTTTTCTTGCCTTTTGATTTCATTATGTTCCCTTGTTCTTGTGTTACGAGAGAGGATAAATAGTAGCACCTGGCTGATTTGCTTTGTACCATTCTTTGTTTTATATATCTTTGACATGTCTCCCCTTAATCATCTTAATCTCTCTGCTTCTCATCATTTTCATTGCCCATCTCTGGATCTCTTCTGTTTCTACCAGCATGTTTGAGATAAAGTGACAAGAACTGATCACTGTGCTCTAGGAGAGGGTGCAGCATTGATTTTATATAATGGCATTATGATATTTTGACTTTCCAATCCTCCCTGCCCTCACCCCCACCTCTATAAAGGGTCATGCAAACATAATGTGCTATAAAAATAATGAACAATAGTAACAATACAAACTTCCATAGCCTTGTTTGCTTTTGAATCCAGATCTGTTATGGGATTTGACAGTTGTGACTGCCTCACTTATTTTCACATGATGCTGTGTATGTATTTCAGTCACTGGTCTCATTCTCCTGTAAAGGGCAGTTAGTGTGTGGTGTGGGTTTTTTTTGTGATGGCTTCTCCCTTCAGTTGTGCGTATGTAAATCTCGTTAACAGTAATGGAAGTAACACAAGCACATTGAGACAAGACTATACTCCTTAGTCAGTAATGCCTTGGCTGCTGCCCTTGCTGGGAAAGGCTTTTATTTGTGTTAATCTTTCTGTTCCTCTAGAACTTGCTTTCCTCTTTACATTGTTTTACAGGTTACAGCAGCTTTCTGAAAGATTGCTTTTTTCCCTCTTTCTGTAGCAGAGATTTCTTTTCCCCCTCGCCCTTTGAAATACCTGTTTACTTTTGGACTTTCCCCTCTTTGTCACATACTATTTTAAAACTGACTTCCTTTTTTTCGTCTACCCATTTGTTTTGCTACAAAATGTCATGGATAGTATATGGTTCAATATCTTTTTGGGCCGTTAAATTTTGTAATAGCATACAGGGTCTTGGATTATTTTACATATATTATTCTTTAGGGCATGGCCTAATGGTCTGAGCATAGGTCTGGAAGTTACAAACTTGTACATTCTAATCCTGGCTCTGACGGTGGCTCCCTTTGTGTCCTTAATCTCTGCCTCGGTTTCCCCATCTGTAAAATGAAACTTGCTTAACTCTCCGTGTAATTACTGTTTGTGAAGAACTGTAAAGCTGAACATTGATGGGTAGACAGTACTCTGTTTCTAGCAATAGTCTTCTATATGATGAGCCCCATTGTGCCCTCTGAATTGAGTGGAGAAGGGATCCTCAGCACACAAATGTCCCCTCTCCTTCACAGAAGGGTGGATCAGTGCCTTCTGTGGTACTGCTCCCACCTCCTTTCCAGTACCCCATATAGGAATCTGGCTGGGGACAAGGAGGTGGCAACCCGACATTGGGTGGGGTAGAGGATCACATCAGCCCATCGTGAACTCACCGCGACTAGACAGGAAATGTAATGCAGCTCAAAGCTGTATTTCCTTTCCCAGGGAGTCTCCTCCACAGTGGGTGTCTCCCTTGAAGAGTAGTCTTGGAAGCATCCATGGCCAGAGGAAGACCCTAGTGATGCAACTCTGGGGGAGCCAGGCTGCTACTGAGCTGGCATGGACCTGGCCTCCCACTGATCTATGGGGCTTAGGCATGGACCTGCAGCCTTCCAAAAGCAGGGAAGCCCACTGATAGAAGGACCAGGGCAAAGCTCTGAGGGATGCTCATGGAGTTTTTTTGGCCTGTAGCTCTTTCACGGGGGTTTCCTACAGGAAGGGATGATCTGGGCCACTGTATATAACATCTAGTAGTTTATAGATAATGTGAGACATATATAGATCCTTCCTTCATATACAGTATGCAGGTTTTCATTGTCCACAAGGAGCATTGCTGTTCTAATTTAGCAGGTTGCTTCTTTTCTTGGTATTTGCTGAACAGATTATTAAATGCATCCACAAAATCTCTTCTCAAGTTCTGTAGTTAGTACCTATTTACATCAAGGCAGATCTGTGCACAGCACTGTTCTAAACCTGCAACAACATATAATGTACAGTAGTTCATGTAGACAGTGACTGCTAACCATTTTTTTCCAGCTACAAGAAATTGGATACATAGCTTTCCTGAGTCCATGTTTCTAATGCCTACATTGAAAGTACTATCATTAATATTTGCTTCTGTACACTCATGTGGTTTTATTTATTTATTCACTTGTTTCTAATACAGAATTCTGCCTGCTAGATGAGCAAGAAGGAGGTTTTGAAAGAGAAAACGCAGAAGGCTCATCTTATCCATATTCTTTACCGTTTAGAGACTCTTCCTTTCTATATCAGCCAGACGCTGTGGATAGTGACAGGCACTCTGGAGATAGAAACATCATTCCCAGCGGTGCTTCCTTAAGTGTACTGAAACAAGGTATTACCAGAAACTATTTATTTAATTACACTACAGAGTCTTAAGCAAGATAACAGAAGGAGGTATTCTTCCAAAATAGTACATCGAAATTAAGCTGTCCTGTTTTAATAGCCATAACTCCGTGGTGATCACTTAAAAAAAACAGGAAGATATGGTACTTGTGGAATGAATATATATCTCCTAGGAACATATTGTTACCCTTTGTCATAAATATAACCTTATACAGTTTTGATTTTGCATCAGTTTTGTTATATCCCTGCTAAACTGCACAAGATTAATTTATGTTGGCACTGAAAAATGTTCATTGAGAATATTTGACGCATGATGTGAAAACATTCTCTTAGTAAAGCTTCTTGGGGAAGGTTATTTGACATCTCGAGAAATACAAAGTTGCTGTTTTTTCTTCCTGAACCTCTGAGTTCTGAGAAACCTGGAAAAAATCAGAGTTGAACACTAGGACTAAACTCAGATGTGAGCTAAGTGGCAGTGTGAATTACATGTTGGTAAATTGATTTAGGTGATAAGGAGTGGAAGGGTGTGGTTGTACCAAGAAAAACAACAAACAGGAAGGAGTAAGAAGGTGTAAAATAAAGGAGGCCCCATCCCCCTTTATATTACCTCCTGTCAGTTCCTCCTGTAGTCCTGCCTTTACACCCACTTCCACATTCCAAGGTGTGATTTACCAGTTATGTCACTTCTGAATTTGGCCCTGAGTTCACAGTTTAGTCAGTAAATTAATTGACCAAAATAGCCATTTTATTGTACTAGAATAAATCCTATTCTTCTCTAGTGTAGACTTGCTTAAGAGAAATAAATTTATCTCTTTGTAGGGATAACATTTTTTTGTGAAGGACTCTGAGTTGCACTGTTCTTTCTTAATACCCTCTGTGCCTGTCTTAGTTAAAGAATTGTCATTCGGTTTCTTTTTGATTAACCTACACTATTCATTGAAATGCTTTTAAAAACTTTTATATTGGAATAATTTGGGGCAGGTGTTTGACCCATCCCACTTTTCCTCCCATCATGCTGTTCTAGTATTTGTATAATTATTTGGTTGAACCATATATAGAGACACTACCTATAGTAAAATTGTTTTTCAATATCTTATAATTATTGATGTGAAATAGGCATCTTTAAAGATCATTTGTTTGTTGACAAGTGTTACATGTAGTGGTATGGCTTTAAAAGTAACATCAGGCATCCTCAGGGATAAAAAAAACCCAAGCCCTAAAGTTCTGTTGACTTGAACTCACAGCTGGAATGTTGATGATTTGCTACTCATAAAACATCTTGGCTTAATGCCATGTTTGCATTGCAGGAAAAGGAATCTAATAAACTGTAGTTGAGTTTCTAAACTACATACTGTAATAGATTAAATATTATGTAAAACATAGAGATCCTCTTGAAGCTAATTAAACATATGTTTTTTTGGTCAAAGGAAACAGAGTTGTAAATCATGTAAAGCCTCTGATGAAATATATGAAGACAGTAAGAAATAGTGTTACTGTCTGAGATTTTAATTTGAAGTATGAACAATACCATCAGCCTTAGTTATTTATGATGTTTTCCCGTAACATGAAGCAGTTCAGGAATAAAATATTCTGGTTGAGAAGTAAGACTACTTGGTTCTAAAAACGAACCTCCTATTGGGAATCATGAACAGCTTTCATGCGAAAAACAGTATAAAATATTGAAATCTTAAAACTGAATATTGATTCCTAATAACAGTATTTATTTTTCTCTCAGTTTGCACTGACACTTCATTAATTTGCAAAGGTCATTAGGACAAATTTGGTTACAGGTGTGTTTTTACTAACATTTCATTATGAATTCTAGAGATTAGTGGTTAATTACAGAATTTTAGTTGCATATACTGGCATTTGTAAGAGTCATGAGTTTTTAACATTGTGTTTCTTTCTTGGAAAGATCTGTTGCTGTTAAAGATGCAGTTCCAACCCTTTGTGAAGCTTCCAGAAGACAAGCAAGGAGCTTTAAATAAAATATTTTATGAGTTCTTGCATCATGAAGAAATGGTGACTGCACTGGAGGAGGTGGTAAGAGGATGGAACTTTTTTTCCTTCTAAAAAGTACATTAAAAATAGAGCTAACACGTCCCTCTATTCAAACACTTATTTTATAAGTATTAACAAGTTTTTTGTTGATTTCAGTGGGAGGACGATCAGGGCTTGTTTCCCTGTCTAGTTTAAAATGTGAGAACCTAATAATGTATCTTTTCCTCTTTCCAGTTAGATAGTATTTGCACAGGAGAGGAGCCGGATTTCACGGACCTGAAGGAGTTGAAACCTCCACAGCAGCAAAACATAACCGACTTCTTGCAGCTGGTCGGGTACAGTTTACAGAATGAGCTGTTGTTGCAGAACGACCAACTTCATTATAAGGGACTCTTCTCAGCTGCTCACATCCTGATCAGTGCAGTGGCAGGTACAATGGAGATAGTTGCAGCGTTCCCACTTAGAAACTCCTTTTTCGTGTACAGCAGGAATTTTTATTTTGTAGGTAAATTGTAACAGCTGGGTAGCGTCAGTACATGTATTGATTTCGGTTTCAGTTTTATGGGGCTAGGGTGGATAGAGAAGAAAGCACTTTATGATTCAGGCTAAGAATTAAATTCAAAACCCCTTCACTGCATATTTTACAAGTAAAATGTAACATTCCCTGGAAATCATTTGATTTGAGTTTTCATTGAAGCCAAACCTTTTCACTCAGTTTTGTAAATGAATTACTGTTCTCATTGTGCAATCAGAATCCTTCATATCTAGTGTCTCAGGGTTGCATTGTAGGTGCTGGCTTCCTTGTATTTGCTGAATGTGTGGCTTTATGTTAAAGTACATACCATATTTAGCAAAAATACTTTAACATGTAGATCTGTAATTAGAGGGTTATTTTGCTGCCACAGAAAAAGGAAATTAAACATAAATGTAAATGAATGCCACCCTCACAATGAAATTGGCACTATAGTATTAATTAAAAGCCACCTGCAAATCCAACTTTTTCTCATAAAAATCTTCATTCCATTAAGGCAGATGTTGAGAGGCAGTGAAGTGTGGTATTGGGTAAATATGTAGCACTGTACAGTGGAAGGTCAGTTTCCATGAGCTCAAGACTTCAAGTTACAGAGAACCCATTT